CTCCAAAATCGGTACCCACTCTCAGCGATTCCAACGGGCCCCGAGTTATACTTAGAGCTAGTATTATTATATTTTGAGCCACATACCATAATGGTTCAGAATGGTTCAATTATTTAAGGTTATGGTTCATTATTATTTTGATAAAATTGTTCTGTGATAATATAAAGATGTTGATAACAGAAGTTATTTTTAAATTTGAATTTGATAGTTAATAATAATAATTACATAATACATAATTGTTAGTATTCTTCGTCTACACGAATACTTGTGGTGTACTGGTGTATAAAATAAGTATTGCTTTTTGATTCTAACGTCTAATATTTACAAATTACAATCATGTCTATGTCCACGAGTGAATCCATAAAACGTAAACGAGGAAAAAATTTTAATGAAAACGAAAAATCATCACTACTGGATATTGTAGCAACATATAAGGATGTTATTGAGTGTGTTAGGGTATGTATATTTTATTCTAGACTGTTGTGTATGTGTGTAATTTATACCTGTTTTTTTTTTACTTTTAGACAGATGTAAAAAGTGTCAAAGACAAAAATAAAGTGTGGGAATTAATTCAAAATGAGTATAATAGTATTCAATCATCAGGATTCAGAAATATTGACCAATTAAAAGCTCTTTATGACATACTAAAAAGAAATGCCAAAAAAGAAAAGTGTAATGATAAAGTAATTACATCTTCTAAAGTTTTTTGTAATTACCTAATTAAGTATCCATTATGCTTATAACATGTTATAACTCCATAGGTGGAATTATATAAAACAGGTGGAGGTAAAAAAAATTCAACCGTCAGTGCCTTAAGTGAAAAAGTAATTGGGATTCTTGGTGATCAAATTGAGCCTCTCATAAATGAGTTTGATTCTGATGCAAATTATGTTAATAACCGTTAGTAAAATTGGTATTATTAAATAATAAATGTGATTACTGATAGTGATAACTAATACAGTGTAATAATAATTTTTTTAACTTGTAGTTCAGCAAATAGAAATTCCTATTAAAGAGTCCTATAGCCTAATTGAGGTTTTAGGTGAAAATGATTTAACTATTGACATCGCACAAAATGAAGGACAAAATAATACAGAAATAGTTTATATTGACGATTGCGAGAATTACATGCATCCAAAAAAAGAATGTAAGTTTCTATTAGTTTGATTCATCACATTGTGGATTCCACCAAGCAACTGTGGGCTTTTTTCATGAGAATTTCGCTTGACCTTAATTTATTTAATTTTTATTTCATTTCATTTCTCGGTAACAAGAATACTGGGCCCCACTGAGACTCGAGTTGGGGCCCAGGAATCTTTAATTTAAACATATACATTTTAATATAAATTAATTAATAATTTGTACAATCTGAAAAATTAAACTAACAGCTATTGAAGTAGGTATAATATAAACTTTAAAATTTAAACTTTATTATACATTACTTAAAAGAAACTTTATAACATAAGCTTAGACATTGCTTTGACATAACAACAATCTCTAACACAAAGTTTGATTCCTATTATTATATTATATTTAATTTAATTATAGAAGACCTATGAAATCAGTAGGTACTTATTAGCCAATGTGTTATATTTCTATTAAAATGAATAGGGTTTGAATTTAATATGTTTTCCGGCAACATGTTTGCAGTTTTAGATCCAGTGGTTTCCAATTGCAACTCAGTTGTTGTATAATTTTGGTTTCTTTTATCCAAGATACTTCGTAATTCCCTAAATACATAAACATTTTCCTGACTTTATTAGTTACATAGTTTATACTAAGTAACTATGTACCACCGCATGTTACTACACATTTCTATACCTAGATATTTTGTGTGCTTATTTATCATGATTTTTTACAACAAGCATTTTGAAAACAAACGATATTCCCCCTTTAATAACTTTTCACTGAATATTCAAATACCTACCATTGCATTTTAAATACTTTAACAAATAAGTATTGTTCTAAATTTAAAACATGTACAAAAAAAAAATAGTCATGTAGGTTACTTCACCTACACCTAACTATTGTGGTTAGATTAGATTTTGATAATTTAATGAATATCTATTTATTTTTTGTAACAGGTACTAATAAAAAGTATAAAAATGATATATGTGAGGATTCCACATCAGGTCCAGCATATACTGGCAAAGGTGTATTTAAATCACTTTTAGAAGTATCTAGTAAACGTATGAAACGTACTGATTTACTAACCAAATACGAAGAAGATATTTTAAAAACAAAATTGGAAACTGCACTTATTAACAAAGAAACTGCAATGTTTGAGTTAAACATTGCAAAACAAAAATTTGAGACAGAACAATATATTTATGAGTCATTGAAACAAAAGAATGCTGAATGATAAATGTTAATTCCATTTGTAACATATTGTTGATTACTTTTATTTAACTTAGAGAAACCTATATTTAAAA